TGGTAGGACTCGATTTTCACTATATAAATTCTTATAAAAGCTACAAATGCTATTCTGTCAAGAGCAAGGAGTGATTTCCTCTTCGTCTTTTGTTGTTTGATTATCATTAACGCCGACACTTAACTCAAGAGACGAAACGAGGCACGAGATTGGGTTTCGATTTAACGATCACGCGAACTCTTGGCGGTGCAGAGCGTGCATTCTAGAATACGAGACGTTAATTTTGTCAGACGCTCTGCAACGAATCCTTCTTTAATGTTTCTTATGGGCTAATGAGGGTCATTTTTGTTCGTGCTGAAGTAAATTTAAAATAATAATAAAAAAATAGTCTGTCCAATCTGGGGCCTCTGCACATGTGGGGCATTGCAGCCTAGGCAAGCCTGTGTGTTAAGCATCAGCTGCTAAATTCAAATCTGTATTTGCTGGCTGGCACAGAGACAGTGACAAACACGTTTTTACAGCGCTGCACATTGTAACCAATCACACACAAGATTCTGTTGAGCTTATAAATTACCAATCAGAGGCATTCAAATGAGTCATCACAGGTGTTTTGTTCAGTCGCTCGCTGACTGAGTTCTTCTCTCTGGCAAATTTTCTAATCAGAAACAACAGAGTGTAGATGTACGTGTGATGTAAGATATTCATTTCACAGTGTAAACAGCTTCAGTGATTATAATGAGTTTTTGAGAGTGCTTGAACTGAAGTCAATGATAATGTTATTTGATAATGTAAATGTTCTTTGCTCTCTTTCTGTACAATGAAAGTGTTATAATTAGTAACTTAGTAAATTTTTTTGTAAATTCACGTTGAATGCAAAGTCAGTCGTATTAATAATATTTTATAACATGACACTCATATTTGGTACTTTAGTAAAAAGACAGATTTTATGTGTAGTTCTGTCATGACAACTCTCTGAGGGATTGGCATGGTAATGTACATGACAATGTACTCTGCTGCTGCTGCGGCAGAGCAAGTACCAAGACTTGCTACTTCTAATACAGCCACAATATGCTGCTGTGAGTATGTAAGAAATACTGCTGCTGCACATATAACATACATGAAATAACCCCTATATAGCATACATGAATCACCTCGTAGCAGATCTATACAGGTGGAGCTGGGGAAGGTGGAGGGTTTCTGAAGCAAGTTGCAACTGCTACGGCAAGCACTAGTCATATATTTGAATGTTGAGCAGCGAGCTCATTGGCTGCTGATACAGGAGAGAACCAATCAGCTGTGATTAAAAAATCACATTATTAAAAAAGAATACGTGCATGACACCCCTGCATGCAGTTACAGGTTTGGATTACAACCAAAACAAACAAATGAATGAATAAATAAGGATGAAACTGTGGCTTTGAGAAAAATCCAAAATAACATTAATAAGTGCATCTTTGTTCACATTTAACTAGGCTGCTAGAATAGATTACATTCATTTATTTATGAAGCGCAAGCCTGTGACTTTTTTTTTATGCTAATGCTATTAAATGCAGAAAGTGTTTGTTCATGTAATGTGATGACAGATTTTATTCTTCCACATTGTGGCATAGCCTACATCTAAGTGAAATGAATTATCAAAAAAGTATATGTGTTTGAAAAGACAGTAAGAAGTGAGTAAATAATGACATAATTTATAAAATGCATAAAAACGTCTTTCAGTGCTTGTGATTTCCAGACACGAGACGAGTGGTTTGTGTGGAGTGTGGTGTTCAGATCCCAGTCTAGTTCGGTTTTGGTTCAGTGTTGTGATTTAAGATGACCCTTGTAAGTTGTCATTTGTTGATGAATCGTGAATCATTTGTGTGTGTGTGTGTGTGTGCGTGTGTGAGCGTGCGTGTAAGCGTGTGTGTGTGTGCGTGCATGAGCGTGCGTGTGAGCGTGTGTGAGTGTGTGTGCATGCGTGCGTGTATTCGTGTGTGAGTGTCAGTGAGTGAGTGTGTGTGTGTGTGTGTGT